CAGGCCGCGCCGGCTTCATCTCTAATTTTCGACAATTCCTGGCTCATATTAGACTGAAAAAGAAAAAAAAACGAAATGGGAAAATCACTTTAGGCGAAATAGCCCCTGGCCATATTGGAGCAATATCTTTATTGCACATTTGAGTCCTAAAGGAAGATAATAGCTAAAAAAATTAGCATACAAATAAGATAAAGGTAAAAATATGAGAAAAATCCATTGCAGAAAGTCAAAACAAAGACTAGCTATTATGTAAGCGCCTAAGCTAGGTTATCATAAGTAAATGAGAAAGAGATTCTTTAATACATATTCTTATCTAGCCAGATAGTTTAGTAAGAAGGAAGAAAGGTAAGGCTAAATTGAAAGTCTTGATTCCAGTTTATCTACCACGATCTATTTAAATAAGAGATCGAGTGGAGCTCACTAGAATTTTGTTGTTACTATAATAAATGAGCGACTCTACAAGCATCGAAGAGAAATACAACTAGATGGTTGAAGAATAAAAACGATGAGATTAAAAAAAAGAATTGCTGATAAGGAATAGTAAATAGCAACATAATATTTAATGGAATGTTGATGGCGTCCTAAATCATTATTAAGTCACAGCGGAGTCAAAATATATTAGTTCAGCTGTACTTATTAAAATGAGCATCAACTTATCTAGTGAAATTAACCCATATTCTGAGATACATTGACGCTTAGTGTGGTCGAGGAGTAAGATGTGGCCACTTGCCACACATGGCCCAAATTCGAGGCGCTTACAAAAGTGAGAATTAATAAAATCCAATAAAGGCGGATAAAAATTTTAAAAAACTGGGTAAAGTTAATCTCAATTACATAAACATAATCAGGGGATAATGCTTGGACAATCGATAATTGATTTATTGACATGAGGCATTTAACCAGTGATAAAAAGTAATTCCTTACAAGCAAAGGCATACAGGCTATAGGATAAATAGATTAAATTCATTTTATAAGACATAAAGGAGTATGAATTCTAAATCAGCCATCATATTAACTTATCCACGGTGCGTGGCAGAGTTGCAAAGGGCCAGTAGTTCGAAAAGTTGATATATTGTTTAAAATAAATGACCTTCTGGCTTACCTCCAATGTATCCTCCATGCTACAGCCGGGATTACTTTTAAGTACATTTTTTTGATACTGTTTGATGAAACTGTCGCAAGTAGAAAAGCTATGCAAAAAAGTAAACACAAAGAAGAAAATTAAGCATATTAGCGAGAAATGCAGAGGATATTTTCACTAACATAATTTAAGTAGCGATTCATTTTTGTATATTTGCATATGCAAAGTATCTTAAAAGGAATAAGACGATTCGTGGAATATAATTACGAATGACTAGTAAACTTGCCCAGAGCGGATGAGCTCTGCTTTAGAGCGTATGAGCGGCGCACTTGGAGTGACATCACCAATGCCAATGGAAAAGCCGCGATGGGCCAGATAGAAGAGGCTGATTCGACTAAGCCGCCACATAGCGTCTGCACATACCTCTCCACCATAATCACGTAACAGGCTGTAAAAGATGCTATCCTTGCTGCCAGAACCCAGGAGCTTCTTATCCATGCAACCGGCCAACAGCTCACTGTTGTAAATGACAACGTCTGCACAAGCAGCACAAATATGCAGGTTAATATAAATAGTAATAAAAAATAAGCTTAACTCAAATAAAAAGATAAAATAAATTATCGTAATGGATAAGGAGATATGAATAAAGAGGTAATTGTCCCAATTGTAGCTCAGAAAAAAACCTAGAAGCGGGATCTGAAAGATATTAAAAATATAAAATAAATCTGATTGAGATAAAGCCAAAAACTTCAAGCGTCCGAGAGAATTTGTTAAAAGGAAAAAAAGCGACCCATGTAAGCAGCTCCATTGAATCAGCATATGGAAGCAAGGTTCGATATCGGCCAGGAAATTTAGAATTGCACTTTAGATGGCTAGTAAAAATTAATGACTAAAGCTAAAGGCTGGATGGAGAGATCGTGTATATATAACAGGAATGACAAGATGGACGATAAACTACA